AGATGGATTGGCAAAGTGGCAGCATCAATGGGCTCAAGCATGGCAACAATTGTGAGGTTGGCCCAGGATTGGGCAGTGTTTTGTTCTGTTGTGCATAAGGTCACTATGAGTCGGTACCAACTCAATGGCACCTAACAACAACAAGTGCATATCTTACAGCACCATCAAGGACTGTGTGGATCTTAACAAAATTTGGATGAAATTGTTAAGAATGGAAATTCCTGAACACTTAATTGTGCTTGTGTATAATCCACACATAGACAAAGAGACAGCCCTTTGAGTAAAACAAGGTGATATGGAATGGTTTAAATCCAGTGTGTCGGGGTTGTATCCTTTCACCATGCTTATTCAATCTGTATTCTTTCAAATAATCCAAGAAACTGGGTTACTCACTAAACAGTCTGTGATATGCAGATGACACAACCTTGCTTGCTGAAAGCCAAGAGGATTTGAAGCAGTTGGTAATGGTCATCAAAGAATACTACCTGCATTATGGATTACTACTCTAAAGCAGAGGTCAGCTCAGAAAGTTATGGCAGCCATTTATTTGGGCTTCAAAAAGGCCATTTTGTTTGATTGTCTCAAAAGACTTAGGATAATCATGGGGCTTATTAGGAAGAGTTTTTAAAAAACAGAAAATTGTATTAGTGACAAAAAGGCCAGAAATATTGCACCAAGGGATTTTATTCTAAATCATCAATGTATCTGCTTATTCTTCAAGGGCAACAAGGTTTGTCCTATGAGAATTTCATTGGAATATTTACCACCATCTACCTTACAGTTCTGCTGTTCCTCCTTCAGACTTCATTTTGATCCCAAACTCAAAGAACATTTAAAAGGTGCATAGTTTGGGTCCCTCCAGGATATCAAGACTTCCATTTCTACATGGTGTAAATTAAAGAGCACAAAATTCTTAAGGGAAATGATTCTATTGTTATTAATTGCCATTGAGTTGATTCCAACTCATAGTGATCCAACATAAGGTTTCCAAAGAGTAGCTGGTGGGTTTGAATCACCATTCTTGCAGCTACCGATCTAGTGGTTATTCTACAGCATCACACCAGGAAGAGAAATAAAGTTTCCACACTTCTATATATTCCATCAGTAAAGGTTTCTATGATTTTGTAACAAATACTTTTTACTTACCTTCATGTATGGTGTTGTTAAGTGCAGTCAGGTAGGTTCCCATGCATAGCAAACCTGTATAGGGTTCCAAGGAGCAGCTGGTGTGTTTGAACCACTGACCTTGCAGTTCAAGATAACCTTGAGGTCTAGTGCTTATTCTACAGTGCCACACCAGGACTCTCATATATATTTTTAAAAAGTTTAAAATTTTGTATGAAAAGGTAATGGAATTTTTCAATGAATTTTTTGAAGCCCCCTTGTGTGTGTGTGTCACTATTTTTTATAGAAATCCAACTTTTTGTTGAAAATCAAGTTGATTTTCATTTCCAGAATACAAATGATTTGTTTGATGTTATATTGGTTTTTATACACTATCAAAAGATGTTCCCGATTATATTTTCTGGAGTATTGTAAAATAATAAAATTAAATCCAGATATAGGTTATTGTTAAAGTTTGTACATTTTTCCTATTCAAAACATTCTCAGTCCTGATATATAAATGAGATGCTTAATATTTATTTTTTCTCACTTTTTAAATTCATCTGTTATATGTTTTTATTATAATTTTCAATAACTTTTCACTGAAAGCAACTAACGTGTACTAACATGTAAAACAAAGTAAACACTAAACAATTTGGAAAGTCTAGTAAGTGCATAAGTTATATTGTTAAATGTCATTGAGTCGATCTGACTTATAGCGACCCTGTATAATGTTTCCAAAGTCCTAATTTTAAGTCCTCTTCACTTTCCGCAAGCAAGGTTGTATCAAACCTTAATAGACATTAGAATTTTCTGAAGGTCTTGTTAAAACACAGATTGTTGTCCCTACCCCAGCGTTTCTGTGGTGTGGACCTAAAAGTTGCATTTCTAAAAGGTCCCAGGTGATATTTCAGAACCACTTCTTTACTCTATAGTTACCCCATTGGATAGACTTAGACTAAAGCTGCCAGAAATTCTTTGTTTTACCATCTAAGTATGAAAGAACCTGAATAGATAAATTACACAATTATTTAACAAACCTTGCATAAAATAGTTTGAATTTAGGTTACAGAAAGTTTATTGTTATGAATTAGCAAAAATGATTAACACTTATTCCCATCCCACCATCCATATAAGTACACTTCTCCCCAAACTGCAGGCAGTTTTCTTCCACCAAACAAGCCAGGAATTATACAGAACTTTCTATAATACAGTGTAGAAAAAAAAAGAAATAAAATCAAAACAAAAAACTTGGACATGAATGTTAATCCATTAATTTAGCTCAATGCCCTAAAGAAAACCAATGCAAAATGTAATCTAACAACAGAGACAAATTCAAATTAGTCCTGTATTATACTTTGTGTGGAGTGGGAATGTTTTAGCATTATTGTCACAGCTACATACGCCTTAGGGAGCATAATTAACTTGTGCCAAAGGTGCAGAGTTTCATTGGTACATCATTTCACATTGGTAGAAGCACAGCCAGGCACCAAACACTTGTTTTCTCATGTCTAATATTCAGATTGCAGTGAATAAATTTGTTCATTAGAAGTCTGTGGATGTTTTCAATATTCTTAATAAATCTTCCTGCTAAATTATTTTTCCCATTGAAAAACTATATTGGTATCTAAGTTATTTGTAAGCAAGTCTTTAACAGAATAGACATATTTCATAGGAAGTTTTCTTTTCTGAAATGTCATTGCCAATATAGTTTGGTGCCTTGAAGGGCCCAGCAATACTTTTATTTTTGTCCATTTTTAACCTGCTGTTGTTCAGTGCTGTCATGAGTCCATTCTGACCCACACCAACTTTGTACAGTGGTTCCAAGGAGCGATTGGTGAATTTGAACCACATACCTTGAGATTCAAACTGACCTGGCAGTCGAATACATCGCCACACATAGGTTTTGAACCTGTATATCTTTTCATTACAGTCCTGGTATGGTGCTGCAGGTTAATGCACTGGACTGCAAGATCGGTGGTTCAAGCTCATCAGCCACTCTTTGGAAACCCTATACAAGGTCACTGTGTGTCAGAACTGACTCAACGGCACTTAACAACAACAAACCTTAAATCATACTTTGTTTAATCAGTTATCCTTTCAGAAAGAACCTGTAGCTTTTGCTAATTTCCAAGTAGACCCTTGTTGAAAATTGCGTTGTCAAACAAGTAGTCTTTGTGGTAATCCATTTATAAAACTGATATATCTTAAAATCTCCTCAAATATGCAGGCAGTTTACATGGGCTATTTTACCTGTCTTCGCCAAACTACAGTTCATTTGAGCCTAAAAGAGGCCTGAATAATTTTATTTTTCCAGGTAGAATTAGAGTCCTGCATTTCCAACTCCAGTGTGGTGTCACTTGCTCTACATTAGAGGGTGGAGCAGCGTATTCTGCAATTGTCACAGAGCATCATGCTTCAGTACATGGGAAAATGAATTTCAGCGACATAATTGCTCAAAACTGGAAAAATGAGGCAGTCTCAATGTTTAACTCTCTCTTTTCTCTTTTTTGTTTCTGTCTAGCCGAGGAACAGCAGCAACTGCTACACAGCAACCAGGCTGAGAGTCACACAGCTGTTGGCAACAGGATAGCCACTCAGCAGCAACAGCAAGATTGTGGTGATGCAGGTCATAGATTATAATTACCACCGTCTCTAACTCAGTCGTTGTCAATGTTTTCCATTACAACTTCTCAACAAGACATCTCTTGATTATTGAACACATTAACATGATTCTCAAGTCCTTTATTTTGGTGTGGAATAAAAGGAGCACTTATAACTGTAGAGGATCTGTGTGTTCATACCAAGTGAAAACTAAAATGCTGAGATACTAGGTAGCAAAGAAATTATACCTTTCCAAAGACCTGGTGTGGTACTTTAGGATAACTTCAAGGTCTGAAGTTCAAACCCACCAGCCACTCCTGGAATACCACCTGGGTCACTATGAGTTAGAACCAACTTGACGGCACTTAATAACAACAACAACAACAAAATAGGATCAAACTTAATGATGTCTAAAGTATACATTTATGGAGGAATCTTGGCATGCAAGAAATGACTTGTTCATATTAAGGGAACTAATAAAGTTCATTTTTATGTCTTTGTTTGAGACAATTAAGGTAGTATTGAACGTTGAATGGGGGAAAGAGTTTTGATTGGAAACATACGAGGCATTTGTGATCCAAAATTGATGTCACATATTTTCTCATCTTTCTAATAATTTTTTTTTCACTTATGTTGTTGCTGTTGTTGTTAAGTGCCATCAAGTCAGTGCCAAATCATAGAGACCCTAAGCACAACAGAATGGAACACTGCCCTATCCTGGGGCAACCAAACAATCATTGCTACCTTTGAACCCATTGATGCTGCCACTGTGCTAATCCATTTTGTTGGGGGTCTTCTTCTTTTTCTCTGACCCTCCACCTTACCAAACATGATATTCTTCTCCAGTGACTGGTCCCTCCTGACAGTATGTCCAAAGGATGAGAGACAAAGTCTGGTCATCCTGGCTTCCAAAGACACTCTGACTGCACTTCTTCCAACACAGATCTATTTGTTCTTTTGTCATTCCATGGTACTTTCAATATTCTCCTCCAACACCTTAACTCAAATGCATCAGTTTTTCTATGATCTTCCTTATTCACTATCCAACTTCCTCATACGTGTGAGGTTATTGAAAGTATCATGACGTGGGACAGGCACACCTTAGTCCTTCAACTGACATCTTGGATCTTCAACACTTTAAAGAAGTCTTGTGCAATAGATTTGCCAATACAATATGTTGTTTGATTTCTTGACTGCTGTTCCATGAGTGTTGATGATTGATTCAAGAAAAATGAAGTCTTTGATTTCAATCTTTGCTCCATTTATATGGATGTTGCTTACTGGTCCAGTGGTGAGGATTTTTGTTTTCTTTACATTGAGATGCAACCAATACTAAAGGCTGTGGTCTTTGACCTTCATCAGCAAGTATTTTAAGCCTCTTCCCTTTCAGCAAGCAATGTTGTATCATTTGCATATTGCAGGTTGCTAATGAGTCTTCCTCCAATCCTGATGCCATGTTTTTCTTCATATAACCCAGTTTCTCGGATTATTTGTTCAGCATAGAGATTGACTAAGTATGGTAATAGAATACATCCCTGGCATACACTTTTCCTAATATTGAATAATGCAGTGTTCCCTTATTTTATTTGAACAATTGCCTCTTGGTCTATGTACAGAGTCCTCATGAGCACTGTTAAATGTTCCATAATAATTTTCATTTATATTCTGCTCAGTTTTAGTTTTTAGGAACATAAGCTTGGCTACTATTAAACATACTATTTTACTGCATTTGGTATGTTGTTGTTGTCAGGTGCCATTGAGTAGGGACCGATTCATAGTGACCCCATGCACAGCAGAACGAAACAATGTCCGATCCTGGGCCAACCTCACTACCACTGCCAAACTTGATACCATCAATGATGCCACCTGGCTAATCCATCTTGTTGGGGGTCTTCCTCTTTTTCTCTGACCCTCCATCTTACCCAGAATGACATCCTTCTCCAGTGACCATTCTCTCCAGACAATATGTCCAAAGTATGAGAAACAAAGCTTAGCCATCCTGGCCTCCAAGAAGCACTCTGGCTGCACTTCTTCCAAAACAGATCTATTGGTTCTTTTGGCAGTCCATGGCACTTTTAGTATTCTCCTCCAACACCACAATTCAAAGGCATCAATTCTTCTATGATCTTCCTTATTCATTGGCCAGCTTTCATATCCATATGAGGCCATTGAAAATACCATGGCTTGGGTCAGGTGCACCTTAGTCCTCAAGCTGACATCTCTGCTCTTCAACACTTTAAAAAGTTCCTGTGCAGCAGATTTGCCCAATGCAATAGGTCATCTGATCTCTTGACTGCTGCTTCCGCGAGTGTTGATAGTTAATCCAAGAAGAATGAAGTCCTTGACAACTTCAATCTTTTCTCTATTGATAAGAATGTTGTTTATTGGTCCAGTGGTGAGGATTTTTGTTTTCTTGACATTAAGATGCAACCCATACTGAAGGCTGTGCTCTTTGGTCTTCATCAGTAAATGCCTCAAGTATAGCTTTTGTCATAAAAAACATAAGGCAATTGAATTGAAAAATGTGTCCTAAGGAGATTGCTTTAAGCATGCAGCTACTATAAGGCAATTGCTGTTGTTGTTGTGTTTTCAGGCGCCATTGAGTCAATACCAACTCACAGGACCTTATGCACAGCAGAATAAAACATTGTGCCTACCTTCCAATCCTTGCTCCATTTGAGCCCATTGCTGCTGCCATTGTGCCAACTCATCTCCTTGGGGGTCTTCCTCTTTTTTGCTGACCCTCCACTTTACCAACCATGATTTTCTTCTTCAGGCACTTCTCCCTCCTCATAATATATTCAAAGTGTGAGAGACAAAGTCTGGCCATGCTGGCTTCTAAGGAATATTCTGGCTGTAATTCATCCAAATCAGAACTCTTTGCTCTTTTAAGGATCCATGGTCCTTTAATTATTCTCCTTCAACACTATAACTCAAATGAACCAATTCTTCTTTGGTCTTCTTCATTCATTGTTCAACTTTCACATGCATAAGAGGTTATTGAAAATACCATGGCTTCAGTGTTGCGTACCATAGGCCTCAAACTGGTATCTTTATCTTGAACACTTTAAAAACGTCTTGTGCAGAAGATTTGCCTAATGCAATACATCATTTGATTTCTTAATTGCTGCTTCCATCTGTGTTGATGTTGATCCTAGTGAAATGAAGTCTTTGACAACTTCAGTCTTTAGTATTTTGACATGAAAAAATTCAAACTAAATTCTAAATTTGAATTACTCATCAAGAATTCTTCAATAAATATATATATGAAACTATAAACATCAATTTTTTGGTTTGTTGTGAGCTGCCGAGTAGGTTCCAACTCAAAACAACCCTGTAGAGAATTTCTGAGAATAGCTGGTTGGTTTGAACTGCCAACCTTGAGGTTACCAGTCCAGAGCTGTGCATATTTAAGTCTAGAATATTAGATTTAGATGCCCAACAACAACAACAAAAATGAGCCATTAGCTTTGTAACTTCAAGCACGTTACCCAAGTTGATTTTTTGTTTTGTTTTTTATCTCAGTTTCATTATCTGTTATGAGAGTGTTGCAGGGGGGGGGGGAATTCAGCCCTTTAACTGAGATTAAAGGATTTATTCAGAAGAAATAAAAGTGTTTTTAAATGCAGGAAAACATCAGCACACGTAAGTGTGAACTGATGACTCTAAATAAAGAACTTCTAACAGAAACAGATACACACCACAGAGCAAAAAAATTATAATACAGCAGCTTTGATTGTTTAGTATTTGGTTGCGGTCCGAAAGAAGATGGATTATGGTCAGCAAATGAGCTGAGAATGAAAGAGGATGGATTATGGTCAGTGAATGAGTACAGAAACTTATAGGGATTGATTTCAGGGACTAATAACAGGGGTTTTTAATCATAGTTGCACATCCTTCAGAAGGGATAATACGAATGATATGAGCGGCTTTCACCAGTTGTCTCAGGAATTTACAATAGCCATTTGGAATTTATGATGAACATTTGAAATTTGTGATAACCACTTGGAATTTTTAATAGTCATCTCCATTTTGACATAACAATTTGGAGTCCTGGTATAACACTGTAGGATAAGCACTGGACTGCTCACCATAAGGTCAGCAGTTCAAATTCACCTGCTACTCCTCAGAAATCATATACAGAGTCACAATGAGCCAGAACCAGCGCCACAGCATTTTACAATAACACAGTAATTGTGTACCAGGGTCTTGTTTCCCAGACCTTGTTCAAACAAAAATTCTTGAACTTTTCTGGAAAACTTTAGATAAAACTGGCTCTAAGACCCTTTCAAAGCAGTTTTCATTGTTATAGCTTTGTCATAAATATATATTTATTAGGCCCACATTATACAAAACGAAACTATATGAAGATTTCCTTCCATAGTATATTTGTTTCACATCTTAGTCTTACCATCAAAAGCATCCTTTAGTTCCCTGGGCTTCTAGCACTTAAGGAGCAGTAAAACAAAATCTAAGATGATTGTTCAATGCAGTCCAGAGCGTATAGCCATATAGCCCTGAACATATCTGATCTCGAAAAGTCCTGGACAGACGTGTAAAAAGACCAGTTTAATTCAGCAGAAGCTAAATTTGATGAAGTCATTTAGTCTTGGTCAAAAGGCTTCATGAATTTCTCCTTCAGAAGAGTGCAATGATAATACTTTTAAGAGTTTTTGTTGTCCAGTGTGTTATTTTTAAAGAATGTGAAAATGCAATATATTATAACACATTATAAGAATTTCTATCCATAAATATTCTAATACCAAAGTTCCATTTGCTAAGTGACTATAGTCTATATTCTCAAATATGTGAGTACAAGCATGGTCTACAAGCCATCATAAAATTACAATGCTTTCAAAATATATTTTTATAATAATTCAAACGTTCTTTCTACATGTAGCAGTGATACAAAAAGTAACAGAGCAGATCAACAACCAGGCGATGAAACTGAGTCTCTTGCAGACGAAGACTGACAATATTTCTTTGGCTGTGAATGATGTCAGAAGCACGTACTCCTCTCTGGAAGGGAAAATCAATGAAAATAAAGGCAAGGAATTTCAATCTTTTCTAAAAGGTAAAAACAAAATAAATGATTCATTTTATAAAGGCAAAGAGCAAATAATTCATTTATCTTTTCTCACATTACTTTGGGATCTTCCCTTTAAGTCAGCTGGAATGGAAGCCTAAGCCATTTATTTTTTAATGCCATATTTAAAAATCACTCAGTTTCTTAACTATTTGGATATATTTAAATATGTTATACTGTATAGCCAAACTTTTGAATATTGTGTCTGGTATAATGATATGACATATCTAGGTATAGTCTGACTTACAATTATTTACAGTCAATAGGAGCCCATACCTACTTCCATTGTTATCCTGTTCAAGAATGGTAATGACGTTGTTAAGTGCCATGGAGTCCATTCTGACCATAACGACCCTGTTAGGGGTTGAAATACCAAGCGTAAGATTCTCTCAATATAGAGATGCCTTTGTTGGTGTTAAGTGCCATTGAGTCCTTTGTGACTCACAGAGCACAGAAGGAGCCACTAGCAAGTTTGAACCACTGACTTTGTGGTTCAAACTGATCTTGAGGTCTAGTGCTTTACCCCAAAGCACCACACCAGGCCTCCCCAGGAATTATGTAAATCAAAACTTCAAGTCTAAGAAATAATAATTTCTTTGTAAATGTGAATGGGCATTGCCTGACATTTATGCTCTTAATAACAGCACAAATTTATTACCTCAAATGTCTGTTGGTCTCACCAGGCTAAAATTAAGATGTTTACATTCCTTTCTGAAGGCACTGGAATAGAATCTTTTTAATGTTAATTCAAGGTATTGAAATAATTCATTGTCTTGTAGATAAAGGATCTAGATGCCTGTTTTCTTGCTGGCTCTAAACTGGATTTCCTTTTCAACTTTCATAGTTCACCCCAGGAATCCTGGTGTGGCACTCTGGGTTAAGGAGTCAGACTGCAAAGCCATATGAACTGCAAGGTCAGCAGTTCAAGGTCACCAGCTGCTTCTCAGAAACCCTATACAGGGTCGCTAAAGGAGCTCTGGTAGCGTAGTGGTTATGAATTGGGCTGCGAACCACAAGGTCAGCAGTTCGAAACTACCAGCTGCTCCGTGGGAGAAAGATGAGGCGTTCTGCTCCCGTAAAGATTAACAGTCTCGGAAACCCTGTGCAGGGTCGCTATGAGTTGGTACCAACTCCACAGCACATGACAACAACAACATGGGTCAGAACTGACTGGATGGCACTTATCTAAAACAACATCTTTGACTTGTGCCTTCTTCCTCCATCTTCAAATTGAACTGCAGTTACTGATACTCACGACACTTCTCTGATCCATTCTTCCTTTTTTGTCTCTTCTTCGGGAATGATGTAATTAAATTGGGCCTAAGGAGATAATCTAGGATATCATCATCTCAAAATCCTTTATCTAATCACAGGTTCAACGTACCTATTTCCATGTAAGGTAATACAGAACATATTTGTTGTTGCTCAAGGTTGTTGAGCCATTCTGACTCATAGCAACTTAGAGGGTTTTCGAGCAGCAGCTGGTGGGTTTGAACTGCCCACCTTGTAGTTCACGGTGCAGAGCAGATGCTTCAGTGCCACACCAGGAGTCTTTTAGCTACTGATAGAAGGATTTTGTTCTAGGTATATGGTATGTCTCTATAGTCAACACTTAGCAAATGGCAAACATGAGAGAGGAACACATTTCTTGAAGTGAGAACATGAGAAAGAAGTCAAATGGCAACAGTATATAATTGACTATAAACTGACTAAATCACATTAATGCAATTTATTTAGTAAGATTCCATGACCCCAGAGAATTAAGCCTCTCAACAGTTTTTTTGTGAATCTACTAATAAAAATTCTGGTACTGATGCAGAAAAATCACATCCTCACAGCAACAATAAAATTCCCTCCTCAATTAGAAGCATTGATTGTGTGCTAAACACAATCATTAATTATAAGAACCCAAGGGCTTGTAGTTAATGAATGTTATAAGCAGCTATAAAAACTAAACCCATTCCCAAGGTGCTATGCTTGCCTAACAAAGCCACAGTCTTCTCTCTTGCTTAATCTGAATCAAAGGTTAAAAACACTAAGAGAAAATCTACGTGTAGACATACACACTCTTCACAATCAATTACTCCAATTCCTTATTAAGCATCTAAATGTTATTGAAAAATAGACATTCACAATCATGGAAGGGACTTACCAAGATACATTAAATATAAATATATGTAAGTTACCAATGGATTCCTGGTGTGGCACTGTGGGTTATTGGCAAGACTGCAAAGTCGGTTTCAATCACAAGGTTGGCAGTTAAAGCTCACCAGTTGTTCCTCAGAAATCCTATGCAGGGTCACTGTGGGCCAGAACTGACTCAGCATCATTTAACAAGTCACCAAATACAGCATTATGCTTTTAAAAAAGGAGAAGTTCAAGATTCAAAAAAAATCACAATCATATTGTGACACACAGCAACTCTGTATAGTATTTGCTGTATAGAGGAGTGGCTGGTGGGTTTGAACTGCTGACCCTGTGTTTAGCAATCCAGTGCTTATTTTAAATTAGCCTTACTGCTCAGATATGAACATAATATATTCTGGTAACAAATTATAGAAATTTTTCCTTACCAAGAAACAAGTTTTAACTAATCATCTGTTTCTTCTCAGACACTGCTGCGATTTTTCCCCATTTGATTTACAGTTGAAGTTTTAGAACCTGAGAGCAGCTGAAAGAGCTTCTATTTCTTGTTTTGTTTTAACATATTGTCCTAACCATTTTACTTTTTTCCTAATTACATTGATTCTGTATTGAATTTTATTTACAGTATTATCACCTACTACCATTCTTATTCTGATTTCTGTCATACAATATTTATTTGATGAAGTTAAATACGTATTGTCAGTGACTACAATTAACTAAGCTAATTAGGTTTAACCATGAAAAACTCTTTAAAAAAAAACAAAAAAAAACTTATAATAAAGTTGTGTATTCCAAAAAGTCCTGAATCTAAGCTTTAATGATTTTATTTCATTTTATCAAGCTGTTGTTATGATGAGAATTAAGATGAAGTGTCATGAAAATTAGCTGACTAAATGATTCTGTAGAAAGTAATAAAAATAATTTCACTATTGACTAGCACCTTAGTTTCAGTGAAGTTAATATATTCTATTTTTAAGACTAAATATTTACATTGCAAAATTTTATTTCTTGCGTGGCATACAGAATATACTCAATAAATATTGAGTAAAATGGGGAAGGTTAAATGTGAAGCAAAACTTGGAAAATAAAGAAACTTTAAAGCCTTTTTGGTATGATATTGGACACTAAAGGTAGATTATTTTGGTGTAATTTCTCTCAATTGTGGACTAAACTCACCAGCCACTTCAGAAAACCTATATAGGGTCACTGTGAATCAGAACAGACTCAATGGCAATTAACAACAACAACAATCTTTTCTAATTAATTTAGCTTTTTCTTAATGCTTTATTATTGTGTGTTTTTAATTGTTATGCACATGTTTTTATGAGTTTTCTTCCCCACTTACACACAGCTTGAGCATTACTTGCTGACATTTTTCAAACTTTTAATTTCCATTTCCATTAAGTTTAGAAATAATAAAATTTTTCTTTTTTTATTTATTCAGAAACTTTGATTTCAGGATCTAAGATTTCCAGGGAAATGTCTGTCCATGTGAACACCTGTACTCATTTATGGCATTATTTGCCTATCAGATTAATTAATATTAAGATGTGCAACACATCATTCTATTTTATTTAAATACTTTAACATAATGCAGAATTTTTATACCAGGAGGCTTCAGAAAGCTTGTGGAAAAACACAATTAAAGATGGAATTTTCCTCAAAACTTTTTGAAGTCCTCTCATATAGCTTCCTCATTCATGTTGAATACTTTAAAAATTTTCTCACACAAAAAATTTTAAAACCCTGATAGAACCTTTATCTCTTTCTACCAATAATGATCTTCCTTGAGTAGGTTACAATGTTGTTAAGTGCTACCCAATTGGTCCGGACTCATAGCAACCTTATAGAGCATTTCCAAGGAACAGCTGGTGAGTGAACCACCGACCTAGAGGTTAGCAGTCAAGTCTTTATCCTATCCAGGACTCCAGGTTACATAGGATCCATCGTTTATGTGGCAATATTTGACAAATAAATCAAAGTTTATTTGACAGTATTGTGCAGATTGTTCTGTTTATAACATATTGTATTGTTGTTGTTGTTGTTGTTAAGTGCCGTCGAGTCGGTTCCGACCCATAGCGACCCTGTACAGGGTTTCCGAGGGTGTAAATCCTTACGGGAGTAGAAAGCCTCATCTTTCTCCCGCGGAGCAGCTGGTAGTTTCGAACCGCTGACCTTAAGGTTCGCAACCCGATTCGTAACCACTACACTACCAGAGCTCCTTGTATTATGTTGTCAATATTTTACACTATAGTCATTAGATGTATTTTGAACTTGAATGGGCATACCTTTCATCGGAGTACTAGTGTGGCACTGTAGGATACGCACTAATCTGATAAACAACAAAATCGATAGTTCAAACCCACCAGCTACTCTTCAGAAACACTGTACAGGGTCTCTTTGAGTTGGAACCAACTGCATGGCACTCAACAACAACCTTTCATTTATGTGTGCTTCATAATTAGATATACATGAATATAATTTGAACATAAGTATTACTTTTTCTTGTTTTCTGTGAAACATTAAAAAAATATATTTAAGCATTCATTTTCTATTAGTAGTAAGTAGTTCTAAATGGAACAGGATATTTTTTCTCTTTTTATTTTATTTAGTTGTTGTTAGAGTATACACATGTACACAGCAAAACTTACATCAATTTAATAGTTTCTGCATAGTTAACTCATTAACATTGATTGCATGCTTCAAGGTGTGCAACCATTTTCAGTCACCATTTCTGAGTTATCCTTTCTCAGGTAACATCAACTCACTGGCCCAAAGTCAATTTGGTGCCAGATCCCCACTGCCATCAATTTAATTCTGACACAGAGCAACCCATAAGACATAGTAGATAGAACTGCTCCAAAGGGTTTCTGAGAATAAATCTTTGTAGGACCAGACAACCTCATCTTTCTCCCACAGAGCAGATGGTGAGTATGAACCACTGACTTTGTGGTTAGCAGTCCAGTACTTAGCTCACGGTGCCACCAGTACTCCTTGATCCCATATGTTGTTGTTGTTAAGTGCCTTCAAGTCAGTTCTGACCCATAGTGACCCTGTATAGGGTTTCTGAGGAACAGCTGGTGAGCTCGAACTTCCAATTTTGCAGATCAAATGAACTTTGCAGTCCAGTACATTAACCCACAGCGCCACACCAGGAGTACCATATAGATAGTTTTAAAAAGAGCGTAATGCTCAAGGCAGACATTTTTTAATACTTAAGCTAAGCTATAGTTTATTTGCTTTATTTCAGTTTTAAAGTTATCACAGTCCTTGCTAAGACTAGGCCATATTTTCTAATATTACAGATGCTAGTATGTACTTCATTAGTGGCAAATTTCCTCTTCTTTTCCTTATTCTTGTTAATGTTATATTTGATAATCAAGGCATATCTTGAGCTTATGCTTTCACTGAAGTTGATTTAAGTTTTGTGATCCCCAAATCTCTCATTCGAGTCCTGGTATGGCACTGTAGGATAAACATGGGACTGTTAACTAAAAGATGGGTGGTTCAAACCCACTAGCCTGTCCTTGGAAACCCTATACAAGGCCGCTATGAGTCAGAATCGACTCAACAACACTTAACAACAACAAACCTCTCATTATTATTTTATTGTTCTTTTGTTCTTATTCACTCTTGATTCTTATGACTATTACTTTATATTGATTAAGATTTGGGAATTTTATTAAATTTCTTCTCTGCAGTTAATTTATTAAGTTTTTAAAGTTCAAAGCACAATTTCTGAAACCTAATTATTAGAAAGCTAATAATCAAGTCATGAATTAACATCAGGAGTCCTAGTGTGGTGCTGTGGGTTAGTGCACTGGACTGCAAAATCAGTTTGAACTGCAAGCTCGGAAGTTCACGCTCACCAGTTGCTCTTTGTAAACCCTATACAGGGACGCTATAGGTTGGAACCGATTCGACGACACTTAACAACAACATTATTCACTAAGGCAGAAAACCCCGAACCATTTATGTTCTTACAAGACAAAGACTAGACTTAGAATTATTGTGCTCTGTAGGAATAGCACAAGGTTGGCAGTTCAAACCCATCAGCAGCTTCTTGGGAACTCTATACAGGGTCGCTATGAGTTGGAACCCACTCTAAAGCACATAGCAATAACGTGTCTATGACTGAAGTCAATAGCTTCTAAATGTCTTCTACTTAGTTTTATAAAACTTAGTTTTATAATTCTAGTATGTTTTACACTGAAACTGTCTTTTCCTCTCAGATTTTTCAACTACAGGGATGATAGCCTTTTATCAATTATATTTTTTAAATGTCACATGTAAATGTAGTTGAGAAATATTTTCATTATTACATATTCTTAGAATTTAATCTAAAAATGTCCATTCCCTTAGAAATATTTAGTGTTTTACACAATTAAAATGAAGTACCATTTACTCTTGCTTATTATTTCTTTCTCTAGGTCTAAAATCCAAAAGCATTAATGATCTAGTAAAAGGAATAGTAAGAGAACAATTTAAAATTTTTCAAAATGACATGCAAGAGACCGTAGCCCAGCTCTTCAAGACCGTATCAAGTCTATCCCAGGACCTTGAAAACACCAAGCAACTAATTCGACAAGTTAATGAATCTGTGGTTTTAATAGCAGTCCAAGAAAAGTTCACTTCAATCCAAGAAAATAAACCCACTTTGACGGATATCCTGGATCTAAAGAATCGTATTGCGAATGTAAGACAAGAAGTGACTTTTATATGTGAGAAGCCCATTAAAGAACTTGAAGCAAAGCAGACTCATTTGGAAGGCATTCTAGAACAAGAACACTCCAGGAGCATTCTGTATCATGAAATGCTCAACAAGAGTCATTCTAAAATGACGCAAGTACATGAGCAGCTTTTCTCAGCAGAACAAGTGTCAGATCAGAAGACTGTTCCAGCTGCTAAATCAGTTAGCAATAATGTCTCTGAGTACTTGTCTACTCTGCATGACAACATAAAGAAGCAGGGATTGATGATACTGCAAATGTTTGATGATTTACACATCCAAGACAGCAAGATAAACAATCTTACCTTCACTTTGGAGCTGGAGAAAGCATCTGTCATAGGTGAATGTGAAGACATGTTCTCCAAGTGCAGAAATGATTTTAAGCTTCAAATTAAGGGCACAGAAGAAAATTTACATGTTTTAAACCAAACATTGGCTGAGGTACTTTTTCCAATGGACACCAAGATGGATCAAATGAGTGAGCAACTAAAAGATTTGACTTATGATATGGAGATTCTTCAACCCATGCTTGAGCAGGGAGCATCACTGAAACAGACAACGACATATGAACAACCAAAAGAAATAGTAGCAACAAAGAAAAAAGTGGATAATCTGACTACTGCAGTCAACAGTCTAAATTTTCTTATCAAAGAACTTACAAAAAGACACAATTCACTGAGAAGTGAAGTACAGAGTCGTGGCAATAGTTTAGAAAAACGTATCAATGAATATGCCCTAGAAATGGAAGATGGCCTCAATAAGACAATGACCATTGTAAATAATGCCATTGATTTTATTCGAGATAACTATGTACTCAAAAAGACTTTAAGTAATATAAACTATAACCCCCAAGTTCATCATGAATGTACCCAAAAGATGGAAACGATTTTGGCTTTTATTCCTCAATTCCAACATTTGAATGAGTCTATTGGTATTCTGATCAATGACAATCAGAGATATAACTTTGTTTTACAAGTTGCCAAGGCCCTTGCAAATATAACTAAAGATGAGAAACTAAATCAGGCAAACTTTCACAAGATTTATCAAATGTTAAATGAAACCACTTCCAAAATGATGCAATACAGGCAAAATATGAGTCATTTGGAAGAAAAAATGCTTTCTGTCACCAATATTTCCAGAAACTATGAAACTCGTTTGCAAGGCATTGAGCTTAAAGTGACCCAGACCCTAATACCTTATTATATTTCATTGAAAAAAGGCAGTATGGTTACAAATGGAAGAGATCAGGATCTTCAACTTCAGGTATTAAGTTCCAGATTTAAGGCACTGGAAGCTAAATCCATCCATCATTCAATTAGCTTCTCTTTGCTTAACAAAACTCTCCATGAAACTGTATTGATGTGTCATAATGCTTCTGCAAGGATATCTGAAGTGAATGCTACCATACCTGAGAGGGTAAAGTCTTCTCTGCCAGATATTCAGCATCTGCAGAAAGGTCTGACAGAATTTGTGGAATCAATCATTGAAATCAAAACTCAAGCTGCCCTATCTAATTTAACTTGGTATATAGATCGTTCACTGTCTGAAAGTCTTGCAAATGTTCTCAAGTCTCAGAAGCAAGTAAAAACACTGCTGAAGAAACCTAATACACTTAAAAAACCAACACTGAATCTTACCACTGTTCTGATCGGCCGGACTCAAAGAAATACAGACAAGGCTATGTATCCTGGTAAGCTACTATCATTAAAATATATTTTAGTCTTTCTTTATTTAATGGTATTTGAGGAGCTCTGGTAGCGTAGTGGTTACGAAACGGGCTGCGAACCTCAAGGTCAGCAGTTCGAAACTACTAGCTGTTCCGCGGGAGAAAGATGAGGCTTTCTACTCCCATAAAGATTTACAGCCTCAGAAACCCTGTACAGGGTCACTATGCGTCAGAAACAACTTGACAGCACTTAACAACAACAAGTAGGTCTGCAGAGTTGTTGCTGTTAGATGCTGTCCAGTCAGATTCAACTCAGAGCGACCCTGTGCACAGCAAAACAAAACACTGTCCAGTCCTACATATCTTCACAATCATTGTGAACCTTGAGTCCATTGCTGCTGCCACTGTACCAATCCATCTCGTTGGGGGTCTTCCTGGTTTTTGCTGATCTTCCACTTTACCAAGCATGATATCCTTCTCCAGGGACTGATCCCTCCTGTTAACATTCTGAAGTTAGCAAGACCATATCATGTAAAAGATGTTTACTTGAATGTGGGTAGGTAGTTAAATTATGCAAGGATCACACTCATATAATTAGTATCTAGTTGAATTCTACAGAAATTAGCAATACAAAACAAGTATGCCTGGTACAAATATTTGTCTACATGTAGTTTAACTTTTTCTGACAAGACTAGCAAAAAACATTCAAATGTTTCCCTGTTGATCATTTTCTTTGAATATTTAATTAAAGAACTATTTGACAATAGGCTTCTAGAAGAATAAGACTGAATTGTGTCTTATTCATTTGGTATTACCTGGCACAATGTCTGGTATGCAGTAGGGATACTGTACATTAGCTGTTGGATGACTGAATGCATAAGTGGGCAGGGAATTGATTTGTACAGATCACAAAAGACCGTGAATGCTGAGACCAAGGAGTTATGTTAAGAATTTTTAAAGAGTAGTAAGTCTTTGATAGGACTTCTTGTGTGGCACTGTAGAATAAGCACCAGACTACAAGGTCAGTTTGAACTGCAAGATCAGTGGTTCAGACTCACTATCTGCTCCTAAGAAATGCTATGCACAGTCACTTGAGACAGCACTGACTCCAATGCACTTAACAACAATAACAATGTCTTTGAAGTCTCTGGTGACAGCAATGGTTAAATGCTTGCTTGATTTCTAATGAGAAAGCTGACTAAATTAACCCAGAGATGTCTCAGACGACAGTCCTGGTGATCTGCTTCTGGAAGGTCATAACCTTGAAAACTTTCTGGAAAACAGATTTTGCATATGTGGATTCGGAACTAAATTGACAAGAACTTTTTTTTTTTTTTTTAATTCTTTGAGAATTTGGAGCAAAACTTTGGTTATGATAAGAATTGTGACTCAGAAGAAAAAATCTAGCAGCAGTATGTAGCATGCCCATTTGCAGAGACTGAAATTAAGGGTGTCACTATTTGAATATTGCTAAGAGCATTAAGAGCCAGAACTAGATAGTTGTTGTTAAGTGCCGTCAAATCAATTCCAACCCATAGTGACCCTGTATAGGGTGTCCAAGGAGCAGCTGGTGAGCTTGAACCACTGACCTTGCAGTTCAAATGACGTGTAGCCTTACGCATTAGTGCCACACCAGGACTCCCAGAACTAGATGGTGGTGCTTATGTGCAGTGGAGTCAAACACACCACTTGGTGGGAGAAACATGAGGTTGTCTACTCCTATAAAGATTTGCAGCATTGGAAATTTTATACAGTGTCACTATGTCAGTACAATTGTTTTTCGTTTGTTTTTTGAAGTTCTCAAGTATTATAACCAGTAAAGATAGTTTGTAGACTCTATCACTGTCCTGGTGTGGCACTGTGGGTTAATGGGTCAGACTGCAAAGCCCTTTGAACTGCAAGGTTGGCGGTTCAAGCTCACCAGCTCCTCCTTGGAAACCCTTAAAGGGTCGCTGTGGGTCGGAATTGACTTGATGGCACTTTACAACAACAACATCACTATAAAAACAAGCACGAACTGTATAAAGCCTGAATGCATTGCCCAGAAAGTAACTGAAGTTTTAAAGTTAGGAATTGAGAAGCTAGCAGCACCATAACACACATTGTAAATATCAGCAGAGAAACACATCTATGTGGTACATAAAAAATACTTCTTACCCTCTCAGTAAGAAAGGAGTGTTTTGGTATATAAGCAGTATTGGACAAGCTGTTCACAGGGGGAATACCTTCTGATTCCATAAAAGTCAGTGCTCTTTCTATACGATCCTGTTACTAAATGATGTGTCCAGTTAAATGAATTTTGTATTTTATTGCTTTTTAGTTACAAAAAGGTCACAATTATCCTAATATAATATGACTTCTCATATTTCATCTCTGAATATTTTGATAATATTGAAAATCACAGGATAATAGAAAGATGAATAGTGTCTCTAGGCTATTTAAATCAATCTATTTATGACTCTCTCCAAATTAATTATTCATAATTCTCATCTAGAAATACTAATCTTAATCCTGTGGTAACTTTGAAGACTTTGGACATCTGGTGGGGTCTGAAAACGTTTGTGGAAAATTTTGTTATCTTCTAATTACACTTCTTTCATGAATTTTTTAAGTTCTCCTTCACACATACCTGTTTCCCAGAGAAACTTAGTATAATACAAAATGCTCTTATAATAAGCATCTTAAGAAAATAAGTAATGAGTTGTGCCTTTCCCATATAATTTCAATTATTGGTCTTTGAATGGACTATAGGTTTCAATTAAATTATGTATCATCATATTATATATTATATACGTAAGACAAATTATGTTTGTTTCTTAAGTCAGAATATACCTGAAGTTAGCATAAATTTAAACAGCTTCAAAATTAATTGAAGTTAAAAAAAAACCCAAAACATTTAACAAAAGAGCTTACAAATTTTCACAATATTAGTAATGAATACTATGAATTTATAAAAGTCATATAGAGACACTTATAAGTGGACTGATTCAGTCTCAGTCTTAATGAGCTAATAATAGGAATTATCTCAGTTATGAATCTCTGTTTTCTAATGTTGCTATGATCAAATTGTTTCTCAATTTCTTTGTTTAAGTAGAAATTTTTCTAGGCCTATCTGCTAAAATTGGGAGTCCTGGTGTGGTGCTGTGGGTTAATGTGCTGTTATTGTGGGTTAATGTCCAAGCAGTTCCAGCTTACCAGCCTTTCCTTGGAAGCCCTATACAGGGTTGCTATGAGTGGGAACTGACTCAATGGCACTTAAAAACAACAACCTATGAAAATTAATAATTAATTGTTGTTGTTGTTAAGTGCCTTCAAGCCGGTTCTAACTCATAGTGAAACTTTGTAGGGTTTCCAAGGAGCAGCTGATGGGTTTTGAACTGATAATCTGATAAGAAGTCCAATGCTTATCCTACAAGGTTATACCAGGAGTCCATAATTAATTAGTAGTTCTCTATTTTACATCAGTAGAGAAAGCAATATTGATATCAGAATAATGAATATAAAGTGATCTAATTTCACGTTCAGAGTATATATTCATTTTAGGGAAGACCAGCTACATAATTTCGGGGCCTTCTGAGGGAACTCCTCAGGTTGCATGCCCTTTAAACTGGTCCTGCTTCTACGGTGTATAAAACCAAGGTATCCACTGGACAGCTGAGCAAGTGAGGGCTATGCATGGTGATAAAACCATTGGACTCAGGCCAAGTTTTCCTGGAAGATTAAACCAATTACAAATTAAAATTTAAATACGCTGTTCTATTCCAGGGATTAGACGCATTGACACACTGGCTAAATTTGGAATTTACTTTTCTTTGACCTCTGAAGCTACATTGTAAATATTACACTAAGCCACATCACTCTCCCACATACCCAGGGAAAGGCAATAATTCACAATCATTTTATGAATTTTACAGTCACAGCAATCAGATTATTAAAAACAACAACAACAACGTTGCCACGGAGTTGATTCCAACCATTGGTGACCACATGTGATAAGTGCAAACCATTATTGAGCTTGACTGCTAACAAAAAATTTTATAGGTTGGAGTTCATTAAGCATGCTTTCAATTAATGCCTAGCGACTACTTATGAAAAATCAGTCTTTGGAAATCCAGTGGAACATAATTCTACTCTAACATCCATGGGATTACCATTCAAACAGTACCAACTCATGGTGATTCCCGTGCACTCACAGTGACCACAGTATCATTTGCAGAGTAAATGCAGCTTAAAAAGAAAAAAAAAAAAACATATGAAATTAGTCCTAAAAAATTTACTCAATTTTAATAACTGATGATAGCTTATTTTGAAGCCTGATAACAACAATGTTGTTAAGCGCTGTCAAGTCAAGTTGGTTCCAACACATAGCGATCCTATCCAAGGAGCATCTTTTGGGTTTGGATTGGTAACTTTGCAGTCATCATTCCAGTGCTAATCCTACAGTGCCACACCAATAAATTGACATGACACTTTCATCTTAAAAACAATTGAAGTATAAAATTGAACTTTGTCATGTATTATTACCAGCTTTAGAATGGTGTTTGAACAATTGAGAGAAAAAGATCTTTAAAAAAATAATAATAAAAGACATGAAATTGAAAGAAGAAAAACAATGACTAGCTGATCATTTTCTTGGAAAAAACCAAGATGATGTAAGTGTAATTATAGCAATGAATTAAAAAATTTAATATAAGTACATAAATATTGGCAATTCTCAGAGTTGCTTTAAAGAGGGATAATTCAAGACCAAGAGAAAGATGAAATTTGTTCGATAGAAGCAATTCAAATTCAAAATTTGAATTTGAATTGCTATCTAGAGCATATATAGAGCTAAAGGTAGAAACATTTAAGACAACATTGGAATAAGGGTAAAAGATGAAGAAAATGCCAGTGCAGTGTGGACATCTTAGCTAATGCAGAGCTCTGCAGTGCATTTATGTAATGCTTTCCTTCTATATTTCAAAAGCAACCCAAAGACAAAATAATAGTCTTCCTCATTACCCTGTTAGAAACTTTATTCTGCCACAAACAAGTATCCGTGATCTGCTCTCTGTATCTTTATTGTTTAAATAAATAAGTTAAAAATAAGACCTCGATGTTAAGGTAGAAGTACCCAATGAAAATCAAAACAAACTAAAATATTATATTACATATGAGTAATAATATATAATTATTATATAATATTTGTCAGTTTATCATACTGTGGTGGCTTGCCTGCTGATATTATTCTGGAAGCTATGACACTCTGTTTGAAATACTGACAGGGTCACAAGTGGTGGACAGATAATAATGGAGTTTCTAGACTGGGAGACAATAGGAAGACAAGCCTGGAATTTTACTTTGAAAATTAAAGACAATGAAAACCCTATGATCACAATAGAATATTGCGTAGTATAGTGTTGGAAGAAGAGTCTCCTATGTTATTATTGTTGTTAGGTGCCGTGGAGTCAGTTCCAAATCACAGTGACTCTAAGCACACAGACCAAACTGCCAAGTCCTGAGCTATCCTCACAATTGTTCTTACACTTGAACCCATTGCTACTGCCCCTGTGTTAATCCATCTTGTTTTGGGGTGGGGTGGGGTCTTCCTTTTTTTGCTGATCTTCCACTTTACCAAGCATGATGTCCTTTTCCAGGGACTGGTTCATTTTGATAACATGTCTAAAATATGAGAGACAAAGTCTTGCCATACAGGCTTCTAAGGTATACACTGGCTGTACTTCTTCAAACAGAGATGTGTTTGTTTTTCTGGCAGTCCATGATACTTTAAATATTCTTCTCCAACACCATAACTCAAATGCATCAGTCCTTCAGTCTTCTTTATTCAATGTCCACATGCATAATAGACTATTGAAAATACCATAGCTTGGGTCAGGTGCACCTTAGTCCTCAAACTGGTATATTTGCTCTTAAAAAAATTAATGAAAAGTACATTAAGCATAATATAAATCAGCAAATTTGTTTAAAAAAAATCAATACAAATGTGTCTATTTATTCCTCATAGATATTGGGTAGGTTCTGATGAGCACTGAGGAAAGTTTTGTGGACAAAGTGGCAAACTCAACTCTGTCTCTCTTCTTATAGAATTCATCCACTGAATAACTAACTATCATAAATTAATATTAGCAGTGGTAGGGTCATTTGAAAAAGTAAGGCACCTTCTAACCAGCTCAAATTTGACATGAACATTTATGAATAATGAAAGTGTGATTAGTAGAAGATATATATTAAGAGCAAATATTAGCATCCAGAAAAAAAATAGCCAGAATACATGGACTTATGAACTGTTCTAAGCTAATGACAAAGAAATTTTATTCATATACAGAGCAGAAAAATTAATACAGATGGATTAGTTATACTGATTACACAAGAAAGTGTGCTGAGGTGGCAGAATGGTTCAGTGAATTGTACTGATCTCCACAGAACATGATCAATCGACTAGAAAGAATTTGACATGCTCCAGAAGCCTAAGGTAGGAGAGAAGTTGTAAGGAATTTACTAGAAATTATTTCATGTCCTTAGGAAACCATGGCAATCACAGCAGAGGTTGAGACTCTATGTGATCATTGAGAAACTGTGAAAAATGAACAAAGTATTCCATAAGAATGTGGTCTATTCTATCAATTAGTCACTTGTGTACTCATTTTGAAAGACATTTTTAGCAATTTCTATATGTCAGACATAGTGCTAGGCAGTAATGATACAATGTTTACCAAATAAAAGGCCTGGACCCTGACCACACAAAAGCTCACACTCTATGAAGGAAAATAAAAAAAAATGTGTCAAATTACAGAAACCTTTAGTACATTAAAAATCAAAGTGCAAAGCTACTGTTTCTAGGTAAAAGCTCCATCGAGGGCTATACATTTCTGGAGGCGATGTTCCCATATCTGTAAGCTTTCCCTAAAGAATTCTGTGCCCGTCAATTTACACCACATCAAAATGGCTGTTTTGGCACCTTTGAGCTACTAAATAATATTCCTTTAGGTCACATTTTTATGTGAATTTGAATTATGAAAATATAAAATAAAATATGTGTACAAAATTTATAGATTTAATTTCAGCAGCAAAAAATATAACAAAGAAAATATTCCAGAATTAAAAACAATCATATAATATGAAGTAAGTGAATAATAAACTATTTACATTATTACCACAAGGTGGCAACATAGTGGTAACCGTAGTCTATAATGTATGCATTCTTCTCTTTTTTCATTTACATAATATGTGTTAAACCAATAACCATATTAATATTTGAAGATTTCAAAATAAATGAAATTATTTGGCATTGTAGAAAAAGTAGTGGATGGTTTACTGCAGTTTGGAGGTTCAAACCCACCAGCCACTCCAAGGAAACCATATACAGGGTCTCTATGAGTTGGAACTGACAGGATGGCACTTAATAACATTCTATATGGAATGTATGAACTGTAACTTGTGATCTTCAGTTAACTAAATGTGTTGAGATACGATGTCATTCTTTAACTGGTATGGTGTGGCGCTACAGAATGATGCACTGGACCACAAGGTCAGTTTGAACAATAAGGCCTGCAGTTCAAACCACCAACCACTCCTTGGAAACTTTATGCAGGGTCATTATGACTTGGAATCAACTCGACAATACTTAACATCAACAAATAATCCTTTTTGGGAACATGAAATTTATTTAACAAATCCCACATTAGGAGATTTGGTAGCATAGGTAAGCAGTTCAAATCTTCCAGATGCTCTGCAGGAGAAAGATGAGGCTTTCTGTTCCATGGTGCATAACCACCACATAATTGATCTTTTTGGTGTATTTCCATTTTTCACTAATGCAAATGATGTCATAAAAGCCGTTATTGAACAAATTGTTTTTTGCACATGGGCAAGTATGCCTGGAGTATATATTCTACCTGAAGAAATCTCTGGTTCAAAGAAAATATACTGTTTAATTGTAACCAATAGGGTCAAATTGTGCTATCCATTTAAGCCCTAACTCAACTCTTCATTACTAAATATTTTCTATCTTCTTAAATTTTGCCATGGATGTACAAATGATATATTATTATTTTATTATTCCTTAATTGATAGTGAGGCTAAAAAATATGTTTTGATATTTTAGTGAGCAGCTGTATAGACTTGCTTAGTAATTATTCTGCTCATTTTCACTGTCAATTTTTTTTGGGGGGTGATGTTACTTTTCCTTTGAGTTAATCAGACCTCCTCCAATTTTATGGATGTTGGAAACCTTTTCTTCTAGTCTCCCACCTATTGTTGAATTTTAAGAACTACGCCTTTAATGACAAGTGAGTCTTAATTTTTTGACAGTCAAATTTCAGTGTTTTCTCTTACGACTGCTTTATTTGTTTTGTATTGTTTTGTTTTCCTTTGAAAGAGCTCCCCAAGATTTCAAATTCCTCTAAAGGCACCCCATTGATTGTAACACAACCAGTGGGATGTTGTTGTTTTTTACATTTAGTATTTTTGTACAGATGGAATTTATGTTTCTTATAATATGCAAACATCTTATTGTCATTTACTAAATATGGTTTTTTTTGTATTTTAAATATTATCTATCATCTACCAGTTCTAAATGTACATGACTCTGTATCTAGATATTCTATTCTACCCTATTATTGAAAAAATATATAAAATTCATAAACAGATAAATACAATGAGTCTGAGAATGATCACCAGAATGGAAATGGGGTTCACAGAGCTAAGGGATTTATGTGGAGTCCTGTGACATTATTGGCAGGAAACTTGGAGTTGGGAGCTCATCCTTCTCATTCCCTATTCAGTATCCTTCCCCTTTTCCAACAAACTGTTTGAGAACAATAACAAATTAGATTGGTTTACCTTCTTTTATCTTGATTCTTTTCAGAAACAGAAGAGTATTCAGGCTGCAGCAGGTCCCCATGCCAGAATGGGGGCACCTGCATAAATGGAAGAACTAGCTTTATCTGTGCTTGCCGACATCCTTTTGCTGGTGACAATTGCACTGTAAAGCTGGTGGAAGAAAATGCTTTAGCCCCAGGTAAGAGAAGCATACTATGCTGGGATTTGCTCAATGCCATAAACAGCAACATTTTCTAAAATTATGTATCAATGAATATTTCAGTCTGCTTAGTATTCCACTTAAAGGTGAATTCCTTTTACTTCTGAAATTCATTGAGAATTGTAAAATATGTTATATTTACAACTAGAACTGTGTCTTTGTAATACAGATTCATGTTTACATGTACTTATTGAAATTTCTAATCCTATTAAAGGAAAGGCAGTTTATTGAAAATACTACGTATATCCCTAATTTTAGGCTTGTGCATCTTAAAAGAAAATAAAAAGCCCATTCCCTTAGAGTCAATTCTGACCTAGAGTGACTCTGTAGAGCAGAGTGGATCTGTCCCGTGTGTTTCTAATCTTGACAGGACCAATCTGTCACATCTTTCGCCTGTAGACTGACTGATAAGCTTGAACCACAAACCTTCCAGTTGAGGCCAATTACTAACCATGGTGCCACCAGGGCTCCTTTAAAAAGGAAACATAGATGTAGATAAGGAACTTTGGTAGGGTAATGGGTACATATGAGTCAGGCTGCTAATCTCACATTCAACAATTCAAAACTACCAACGGTTCTTCAGGATAAAGATGAGACTTTCTGCTCCTGTAAAGATTTGTTGTTGTTAAGTTCCGACTCATAGCTACCCTGTACAGAGTTTCTAAGGAGCGGCTGGTGAGCTTGAACCACCAACCTTGCAGTTCAAATGGCTTTGCAGTCTGGCACATAAAACCCTAAAACAGGGTCCCTGTGAGTTGGAATTGACTCCATGGCACACAACCACCATAGATGAAAATATCAAGAAAATACACATTTATTTCTGACTACTCTTTCTCCTCAGACAAATTATTAAAGAAATATACCTTTGATTCATGTAAGACATAGTCATTTAATGAAGCTTTTTGGGGGGCAGAGAACTTGTTTTGTGTTTTTATTGTTGTTGTTTGTTTTATTTTTGAAGTATGTGCTTAGCAGTATTTCTTCCATTAAGGTTGTGCTAATATTGCCATTTTAACTGTGTTAGGGCTGTGAGAACATCTTCAATTCTATTGAGTAAAATCAAGTTCCTTTTTTGTCTAGTTAGAGTCATAAAGTACTGGTTGTGTTCGATTTAGGATCAGCATTTAGAATCACAAGGTTGTCAGTTCAAACCCACCAGCTGCTCCTTGTAAACCCTGTATAGGGTCTCTATTAGTCAGAACTGACTCGATGGCACTTAACAACAACAACAATCATACCCAGCTATAATAATTTGGAAAGGGGTAGCAAGAATAGTTGCGTAACTTGAAGAATGTGATCAATGTCCCTGAATTATACACGTTTTGTTTTGTGTATTTTCGCTGCATTCAAAAAAAGAAGTATATACCATTTCTGATTTTTATACAAGAAAATATGTGTAGCTATTAAAATATGTTAACTTTAATAATATAAAATGTTTAAGTTGTTGAAATCAGGCGTTTATTAATAATATATTACATACTGAGGAATAAATTGTTTTAGTCTATTTTTAATCTTCATCCTTTGTAAGTACATTTGGCATTAATTACACAGAAAATTGCTTTTGTCTACTTCTTTATAGTTCATATGACTTCATTTAGTTTCTATTTTAGCCTCTTGAAATTGTTTGACAAGATGCTGGGAAAATTGTTTTTACATCATGTCAGCTTCAATTCCTGCAAGGGGCTTTAAAGCATTCTGGCATACCATAATAATCATGGTGCTTTTGAATTCCTATAGCTCTGGGGAGATCAAAGACACATGCAAATTAATCTTTGAGGCAATTCTATGAGGGAGTTATCTGGTGTTATTTTCATTTTATCCTGGAGAAACTGAGGCTCTATGAGGCAACTTGTCTTAGGATAACTCAGTCAAGAAAAGAGGTAGGTGTTCAGACATTTAGGTCCTTGCTAAATTTGACAGATGACTTTTTTCTTTTTATTTTTTTCTGATAGCATTTTCTGTAACTGAGAAAGAGAGAAAACGATATGAGGAAAGATAAAATAAGATTGGAAAAACTGAGAACTAATTCTTTCCATTTTTTTAAACAGATTTTTCCAAAGGATCTTACAGATATGCACCGATGGTGGCATTTTTTGCATCTCTTACTCATGGAATGACTACGCCTGGTCCAATCCTCTTTAATAACCTGGTTGTCAATTATGGAGCTTCATACACTCCAAGTACTGGAAAATTCAGAATTCCATATCTTGGCGTGTATGTTTTCAAGTATACCATTGAGTCCTTTAGTGCTCATATCTCTGGATTTTTAGTTGTTGATGGAAGAGACACGCTTACATTTGAGTCTGAGAATATTAACAGTGAAATACACTGTGATAGAGTTTTGACTGGGGATGCCTTACTAGAATTAAATTTAGGGCAGGAAGTGTGGCTGCGACTTGTGAGAGGAACAATCCCAGTCAAATCTCCCCCTGTGACTACATTTAGTGGTTACTTGTTATATCGTACATAAGTAAGGTAGTATGAAACACAGGCTATCACCTTTGCTGAGAAACTGCCAGTGTTTTTATTATCTTTGCATGAACATCTGTTCTGTTTTTGGTTTGTCTGCACAAAATGAAAATCCACTTCTTTCTTAATCTGAGTAGAGATGTAACTTCATTATTTTATAAAATTATTTGAGCATTATCTGTATATGATAAGAGTTCTTCTTGTACCTAAAGAGATACGTGGCACAGATAACAAAGTATATATATATGGTACAGTGTTCTACTTCATATGTCTCTTCCAACTATTGTTGTTGTTATTGAGTGCCATGAAGTCGGTTCTGACTCATAATGATCCTGTATAGGGTTCCTAAGGAGCAGCTGATGAGTTTGAACTGGTAACCTTGTGGTTCAAACTGGCCTTGCAGTCCAGTGCTTTATCCCACAGCACTATACCAGGACTGCTTCTTCTAGCTATAGTCTTTGTAATTCTCACTAAACTATTTTTCCTTTTGGGTCTGGATAAGAGGAAGTAGGGGAAGATGCTGATGGATTATATGACCCAGTTGTGATTAATCCAGTTTCACAGGGGTTAGCTGTGAAAACTTGGAAATCCAACATGGATATAAGACAAACCATCTTAAAAGCATGAGAGGTGACCTCACTACCATCAAAGAAGAAAAGCCAGAAGAAGAGTTCATCTTTTGGATCATGAGATCCCTGAACATTGAACTTCCTTGATGATAGGACAGAATCTATTATGCCGAAGCAGGGCAGCGTCCAAATCAAGAGGCCTAGGGTAAAGAGAAGCCTGTCTGTGAGCTTAGCAGAGAGAGTGCTATGGGATGGATGATGGTTGGTGCCATTGTTTTTGACAATTTATTAGCCTAACTGTTCTATATATGCCATGTTAAGTCATTTCGGTGTAAAGTACTCTTAGAAATGGCATTTCCACAGTATTATCAGTCATAGAAGTCTTTTTAATAAAGCTTTTAACTTGTTATCCCTATTTGCATAAGAAAATAATACAACTTTCCTAAATTCACAAATTCAAATAAATGACTCAAAGATTAATAATTTTTAAACTATATTCTTTATTTCTTTGTGATGGAGTTGATATTATTATATTTTACATATTGCAATTTTGATTGGTATTTAAAATTAATAAAATTTAATGAAAAACTTGAAATATACTTAACTTTTCTATTTTCCTTTTCTTGTAATTATTACGTGAAGCAGTGATTGACAGGTGCTGAATCATTTTCATCCAAGTCTAAGGTTTCATCATTTGATCATGTTTGGCTCCATTTTATAAATTCTACAAGGGAAAACATAATTTTTTTTTTTCTTTAGTGAGTATCCTTCCACTGCAGTACATACTGATTTAGCCCTATTCTTACAAAAGCTACAAACTATTCCATGGTTGTTATTGTTGTTGTTAAGTGTTGGCAAATTGGTTCTGATGCATAGCAACCCTGTGTAGGGTTTCCAAGTAATAAATGGTGAGCTTGAACCATCAACTTTGTGGTTCAAACTGATATTGCAATCTAGTGCATTAACCCACAGTGCCACGCCAGGACTTCTGGTAGTTCTCAGAATTATGAACTATTCAGTATTACTTGTTTTTTTTTCTGAAAAATTTACGTGTACTATCTCTTTGATTCCTCATAAAAATCCTCATAAATTGGGTGTGATAATTATCCCTATGTTTGCAGTTGAAAAAAATGAGACACACAAAATTGTTGTTGTTGTTGTCAGGTGCCACCAACTCATAGCGACCCCATGCACAGCAGAATGAAACAATGTCCGATCCTGGGCCAACCTCATTACTGCTGCCACACTCGATGCCATCAATGATGCCAACTGGCTGATCCATCTCGTTGGGGGTCTTCCTCTTTTTCTCTGACCCTCCATCTTACCCATCATGACATCCTTTTCCAGCAACTGTTCCCTCCAGACAATATGTCAAAAGTATGAGATACGAAGCTTAGCCATCCTGGCCTCCATGGAGCACTCTGGCTGCACTTCTTCCAAAACAGATCTATTGGTTCTTTTGGCAGTCCATGGCACTTTTAGTATTCTCCTCCAACACCATAATTCAAAGGCATCAATTCTTCTACGATCTTCCTTATTCACTGTCCAGCTTTTGCATCTATATGAGGCTATTGAAAATACCATGGCTTGGGTCAGGTGCACCTTAGTCCTGAAGCTGACATCTCTGCTCTTCAACACTTTAAAAAGTTCCTGTGTAGCAGATTTGCCCAATGCAATACGTCATCTGATCTCTTGACTGCTGCTTCCACGAATATTGATAGTTGATCCAAGAAGAATGAAGTCCTTGACAACCTCAATTTTTTCTCCATTGATAAGAATGTTGTTTATTGGTCCAGTGGTGAGAATTTTTGTTTGCTTGACATTGAGATGCAATCCATACCGAAGGCTGTGTTCTTTGATCTTCATCAGTAAATGTTTCAAGTCCTCTTCACTTTCTGCAAACAAGGTTGTATCATCTGCATATCTCAGGTTGTTAATGAGTCTTCCTTCAAACCTGATGCCACGCTTTTCTTCATAGAATCCAGCTTCTCGTATTATTTGCTCAGCATACAGGTTGAATAAGTATGGTGAAAGAACACAACCTTGTCGCACACCTTTCCCAATTTTAAAACATTCAGTGTTCCCATGCTCTTTTCAAACAACTGCTTCTTGGTCCAGGTACAGATTTCTTAGAAGTACAATGAAGTGTTCTGGAATACTCATACTTCTCAACATTGTCCATAGCTTGTCATGATCCACACAATTGAAAGCCTTTGTGTAGTCAATAAAGCATAGGTAAACATCTTTCTGATAGTCTCTGCTTTCAGCCAAGATCCATCAGACGTCAGCAATGATATCTTTCATTCCATGGCCTCTTCTGAATCCAGCTTGAACCTCTGGAAGTTCTCTGTAAATGTATGATTGTAGCAGTTTCTGTATTACCTTTAGCAAAACTTTGCTTGCTTGAGATATCAAAGAGATTGTCCAATGATTTACGCATTCTGTTGGGTCACCTCTCTTTTCCAATAAGTTGACCAGATAGTTGTCTTCCAAATTTCTTGGCAGAGATGAGTGAGTGCCTCCTGTGCCACCTCACTTTCTGGAAAGATTTCAATTTTTATTCCATCAGTTCTTGGTGCCTTGTTCTATGCCAATTCCTTCAATGCACCTTGGATTTCCTCCTTCAGTATCATTGGCTCTTGAGCATATACCTCTTGAAACGGTTGAACATTAAGTATTTCCTTTCGTACAGTGACTCTGTGTATTTCTTTAATCTTCTCTTAATGCTTTCTACATCATTCAATAAATTACCCAGAGAATCTTTCAGTAACGAAAGTCAAGGCTTGAACTTTTCTTCAGTTCCCCCAGCTTGAGACATGCTGAGTGTATTCTTCCCTTTTGGTTTTCTTATTCCAGATCTTTGCACATTTTATTGTAATATTTGGCTTTATCTTCACGAGCGGCTCTTTGAAATTTTCTGTTCACCTCTTGGACTTCCTAATTTTTTCCATTTTCTTTAGCATCTTATCCAGAGAGCAAGTTTCAGTGTCTCTTCTGACATCCATTTTGACCTTTTCCTTCTTTCTTGTCTTCTCAATGACTTTTGGCTTCTTCATATATGATGTTCTTGATGTCAATAGATATCTGAAGCTTTCAAAATGCTGGAAAAACACCTACTCCAATATTCTATAACGTAGCATTTTTCACTGAACTCTTCAAAGGATTCGTTATATTTTGCATCTAAATAACAGGAAATTACATTAGAAACAGATTCTACCAGAATCTGAAATATTAACTCATGATGAAAATAGTATTTTAAAAGACCATCCTAAACATTAATACATTTACCACTTGGTATATGGAAAAAGAACCACGGAGATACAGGTGTGAACATTTATTTTTTGGTATCTGTTCATTTGTTTCTAGCTTTCTTTGCACCTCCATTCTGGTGACTACAGGGGATGCCTGAGCGAATGGATACCCCAATCCACCCCTGGAGGGTTCTGCTATGCATGCACACATATCTCCTGCAAATTTAAAGTGACAGTTTCCACTTAAAACTAAATGGATACCACTCATCTGTCAGTTTGTCGTACTGTGGTGGCTTGTGAGTTGTTATGATTCTGAAAGGTATGCCACCTGTATTTTAAATACCAGCAGGGTCAACCATGGTGGAAAGGTTTCAGATGAGCTTCCAGATGAAGACATACTAGAACGAAAGAGTGACAAACTACTTCTGAATATTTAATCACTGAAAACCTTTTGAATAGCAGAGAAACACTATCAAATATAGTGCCAGAAAATGAGGCCCTCAGGTTAGAAATGTGACTGAAGAAGAGATGCCTCCTCAAAGTAGAGTTGACTGTGATGGTGCAAATGGAATAAACCCTGTGGGAACAAAGCCCATGCAACCTTCATTTGCTGATGGGGCACAATTCAAAATGAAGAGAAACAGTTGTAAACATCCATTGAAAATCAGAACATGGAATGTACAAAGTATGAATCTGGGAAAATTGGAAGTTGTCAAAAATGAAATGGAATGAATAAACATTGATATCTTAGGCATTAGTGAGCTGAAATGGACTGATATTGGCCATTTTGAATCTGATGACCCCACATGGATTACAATGCCGGGAATGACAAACTGAAAAGGAATGGTGTTACATTCATAGTCAGAAAGAACATATCCAGATCAGTCATGAGGTACAATGCTGCCTGGAAAAGATAATAGCCATGTGCCTACATGGAAGCCCAATTAATACCACAATTATTCAAATTTATTCACCGACCACTAAAGCCAGTGAGAATGATATAGAAAAATTCTACCAACTTCTTCAACCTGAAATT